TTATATTTCTTTGTCAATCAAGAGTACCTTTTCATAGGATCACTGGTCATGTACTTATTTCTCAAGAAACTATCACTCCTTTGTTTCTTTCATTTCTACTAAACTGATGTTTCAACACAAACACAACTAAATTAACAATTTTAAGCTGGGAATAAAGGTGCAAGCCTGTAATCCCAGCTATTCAGAAGGCTGAGCAAGAACGATTATAAATTTGGAATTAACCTGGGCAACTTACTGAGATCCTGTCTCAAAGTAAAAAAAGAGTTGAGAATATAGCAATGGTACAAGTCTTTCCCAGCATGCACAAGGGCCTATGTTCAATCCCCAACACAGCAAAATTAAAAGAAAAATTGTAATATGATTGTACTGCCTTCAGAAAGTAAAAGGTGTTAACTTAGGAATACCAAAATTGTGGTAAAAAGAAAGTAAGTTATTTCAACTCCACATTCAAAATGCATATATAAGTATATATGAACTTATGTGTGTGTGTGTATATATATATATATATATAAATAAATATATATATGTAAATATATTTATAGGTCAGCTTTCCTGTTGCTAGGACAAAATACATGACACACCCAACTTAAAAGAGGAAAAGTTTAATTTGGCTCATAGTTTCAGAGGTTTCAGTCCATGGTCAACTGGCTCCAAAGCAGGAATATGGCAGAAGGGCATAATGGAGCACAGCTACCCACTTCATGGCTATTCAGAAGCAGAGATCAGGGAAAGTCCACTAGAAGAGATATGCCCTCCAAAGACATACTCCAAGGGACCCACTTCCTCCAAATGGGCTCCACCTCCTAATGGCACATTTAGCTATGAACACCAGTGGATTGATGAGTGATGAGATAGAGATCCATGATCCAATTACTTCTTTGAGAGGTTCTTAATCCAGTCAGGTTGACATTAAACTTACCCATCATATTCTACTCCTCATCAACTCTATACCCAAACACATATCCATAAACAATACTTAATCACCAATAAACACAAGGTCATAATTCTGCATAATATAACTATCTCATGTACAACTGAAAATACAATAATGTCCTGCCCAAAGTTGCAATAGTTTCACCATTGTTCGGAAGTCCAAATCAGAAGTCTCCTATGAGACTGAAAGTAAACTCTTAGCTGTAAACCCCTATAAAATTCAAGAAAAGGGTACATAATCCAAAAAAAAAAAAAATGGCACAGGGGAAACACTTCCTTTTCAAGAGGGAGGAATAGGAAGACAGAAAAGAATCAGAACAAAGAAAAGCAAACACAGAGGGCAAACATTCAGTCCTGTTGCTGCATGTCCTGTATCCAGGCACATGTTGGTGAGACGTAAGTTCCAAAGGGTTTAGGCAGCCCCATCCCTATGGTCTTGCTGGTTGTAGCCCACAGCCCTCTCTTGGGATGATTCTGCTGTTTGCTGCTTTCCACAGCAGATGTGCCAGATTTTTGGCATCTCTAACTTCCTGGGGTCTCCAACACACTCTTGTTTCATTCCCACAGTTTTACACTCACTCCTCTCAAGGACTCAGTGCCTGGTTAAAATCAGGAGATCAGCTATAAATTTAACTGCATAATGCCTTAATTATGTTTTCCAAATTCAAAAAGTTACTGTTACTTGCTTTTAATGTTTGAAAAATGCTAAAAAACATATTAAGCTTTCTGATAAAGTTTTAAGTTACAGAAGAAAAGTGAAGAAGTACCTAACTTAATAGCCTAAAAAAGAATATATCCTTGCTTCAAGAGAAATCAATTAAAAGCAAAATTTTGTACTGAATGTTCTGACATCAGTGATTCACCTATCTTTAATATTCAATGTCTTTGGGGAGTTGAGGGAGGAAATGGGATAGAATTTATTTTTTAAAAATTCAAGGGCTGAGGATTTAGCTCAGTGGCACCACGCCTGCCTTGCAAGAGCAAGATCCTGAGTCTGATCCCCGGTACCAAAAAAAAAAGAAAATCAATGTCTTCGTTTCCAAAACGATTCTTCCAATCAATATTGGTAATGAAATAGAATAAAAACATAAAATTGAAAAGAATTAACCATTATTCCAATATAAGATATTAGTTTTATTCCAATATAAGATATTGAATAAATTAATATAACACAAAACAATGATTTTCATAATTGCCAAAAATATTGATGATAATGAGTAAAATTAACATTTCTCAAAATATAATATTGTTCAAATTTAATTTACTTTTCATTATTAGCAAAAACTTGGGGGTTTTAAATGCAACAAAATATAACCATAAAGCGATGATAAGTCATGTTTAAGCTGTACAAATTTTTTCAATACTTACATTATTTGCAAACTTTCTGCTGTTAAATTATTCCACATGATCTCATTTGCCTGAAGATTTTCATTTTCTTCTAATAAGGAAGTGTCAAAAACAATTTCTTGTTCTTTAACAGCTGTTGTTCTAGTAAAGTATGTCAAATAATTCTGATCAATATTAGCAAATTATCATAACATATATATTAGTACACATTAAAGGCAGAGTATTCTCATTCAAAATTATATTAACAAAGTAGATACAAAATAGTATGATGTAAACTCTAGGCATCAAAGATCTAGTTATGTAACTAGATCCTTAGTTTCCTCATTTATAAAATATAAATACTAACTTGCTTTACACCTGTCTCAATTACAGTATATAAGATGCATGCATGGAGAAGTAATTTGTAACTCAGAATATAATAGGCATATGAATTCATAGTCTTATATAAATGTTAAAGAACCTCATGTTTAAATATGGATTTAAACAATATAGTATGTAACAAATTTTAAGAATGATTATATAAATTAGTCATTAACACTGAGAAAGTGTTTGTAAATTTAAAGGAGACAAATTAATCTATAATAAACTATTTCCTAAAGTTCTTAAATATTTTTTAATTTTGATAAATAATTGTTTTTTAAAACATAATATTTTCATAAGTACTTAAAGAGAAATGAAAGTATCATACCGATGAATGTCTATGAAATTATTGTATTCTGTGCTAGGATCTATCTGTTCGACTGACATTTGAATTTCTTGATGAACATTTACTATTTCCTCTGTAACAAGACTGGTTATCTGGCTGTATTCATCAAATATACCTTTTCTGAAAACAAAAATAAAATTTTACAACATTTTAAAGTTTTATCAAGAGAAACAGAGACCCAAAAAGGATTTAGAACAACAGATATAAGAAACACTATCAGTATTTACAGATGGTTGTTTCATGCACTATCTTATTTCATATACCTGGAGAGTAAAGAGATTATATAAATATACAGATGAACACTTTACATTTGATAACTACAATAATTACAAATAACCTAGAATAGGACATTACCTTTTCAAACATATATCTGAAATGCACAACACATAAAGCCAGTGTTGATAACTTCTAAATATTCTCGTAAAATTTTGGATCCTATAACATGGAACTCTGATTATTTCCTGTGACTGTCAGTGTCTGGCACTCCTCACATGCCCTGCCTCTTGGTTCTTCTCTTACTCTTGGGGCTTGTACTTTTTTTTAATACACTGCTTAATTCTATTGCTTCTATACCTTCAATGAAATCTAAATCTTCTCCTGACCTCCAGTCAGCAGTAAAAATGTCATCAAAATCATTAGCTTAGTCCAATAAATGTTTTAAAAAATCTACCACAACATCAAATCACCTCCTTAAAAATCTATGCTGCAACAGTAAAAAAATAAAAATTAAAAATACCATGCTGTAAAAATACGCCATTGGAAATCAATGCCTTCAACAGTAAATGTGGACAGCAAGCTTATCCTATAGATGGCCAAACACATAAAAAGCACGTTTTTTTCTTTTTTAAATCATTATTCATAAATGAAAATCATCACTCCTTATTATGAAGAGTTCTCTCAATTACTTTATTTTAAATAGAAAAACAGCTCGAATTAAAGAAAAAAGGATTTAAACAGGTTAAGGCAATGCTACATCCAAATAATTACTGAAATTTACTGACAGACACAATTTAAAGAAATGGAAAAGGAAAAAAATTTTAAATATCAATGTAGCAATATCCCTGCTGTTAAGATGGTTATAACATGGAAATCATAAAATGGTTATATCATAATATTATTATGACATATTATTATTAAAATCATTAATATTTGCCCTTAAGACAAATGGGGGGCAGGGTACCTATCACATGGAATTTAGTTTCAGGGATAACATAATGGTTGGGTTTTTTAAATGCTAAATTTAAAATAATATGTCACAAAATGAAGATAATATGCTGTGAGAAACTATTTTGTCTCAAAAATGTTCTAGTTATTGAAAATTCATGGCAGTTTGAAAAATATTGATTACAAGAGTGGGAAACAAAATATTTCTAAATCAAAAAATGTAATTTAAAGTAAACCTATGAATTAAATATTTTAAATAAACATTTCACTATTTTATCAATAATAGTAAGTTTATATATTCAAGCTGATGAAAACCTTTATCTTATCTACTTAATATACTTATTGTACATATGGGGATAATCTAAAATTTAGTCTTACCTCTACAAGTATGTATCTAGCTATCTTTACAATTTTATAGAAAGAAAAGAAAAAGTGGGCCAGGGATTTAGCTCAGTGGTTCCGGCGCCTGCCTCGCAAGCACAAGGTCCCAAGTTCGATCCCCAATATCAAAAAAAAGAAAAGAAAGAAAAAGAAAAAGTAAGCCAATCAGAGTCTTAAAGGCAGCAAACACAAATTTGATCTCCTAAAATCAGAGGTTCCAGAATTCATTACTACTCAAAAAATACTGGGAACCTAAATCCCGTAAGTGAAATAGTTCTATGTCAATGGAATAACACAAGGATAGATAGTTGTACTAAATCTGTTAAGGCACAAGGGAGTCCTTCAAAGGAAAGAATGAAGTCATTTACTAAGGTTAATTAATATCAGAGTAATCACTGGGTATAGGAAATTTTAAAACATTCCCCCTTCTATATAATTATTAAAATAGAAAATGTGTTAACTAGCACAACTTGGAAAGTTTTACAAAAAAACAACATGAGTAATATAAAAAATATCTCCAGCTCTTAGGGGCACCAAGTGTTGCTTGGCTTGTAGCAGCCCATTCCAATCTCTTTCTTAGTCTTCACATAGCATTCTATCTTCCCTCTGTCCTCCCCTCTTCTTATAAAGACCGCAGTCATTGGATTTAGGAACTACCTTAAATCCAAGACAATTTCATCTTGAGATCTTTAACTAATTACCAAATCTCCAAAAATTCTATTTCCAAAATAAGGTCACAATTGAGATTCTAGGCACACAGGAATTTTGAGAGCACATTAGTTAATGCATCATGTCCTCCTCATGGAAAGAATACTGCATTAATCAGAAGACCTAGCCTCAAGTCTGAAATCTCCTACCTCTCAACTTTGTGATCTTGGCCACTGCTGATCTGTCTGTCAGATACAGCCTGGATAAAACCTGCTCTTCCTAATTCTTCACAACACTGTACAGAACAAGGGAGCAAATACGCAAATGCACATGAAAGTGCTTTACAAACCACAACATATTGTACAATACTTTGTTTCAGAAATTATTGTTTTACCTTTTATAGTTTCTCTGCCATGTATTAAGTTATATTATATTCAGGCTTCCTTTTACATTCTGACTTGAAAAACGCTCACAGTTACCTTTCATATTAATTTACTGCTACATTCCAAAGTGCACAAATCCTAAGTGCTCATGGGTTAATTTACATAATTACAGATAAGTTAAACTAGAACACAAGAACTTATACTTAACTGGCCCAAGTTCCTTGTGCCATAATTTGCCATGATTTGTGAACTTTATCTCTACCTGAGAGATAACTAAACACTTATTTCTTCTCTGACTCTCCTTCATTACTATCTCATTTCCCTTCCCTCTTCCCCAACCCTACTAATGCACAGCAACCCTACTACTGAAGAATTCTACACACATTTTCAGTGAAAGAAAATTGAATCCAATCATTTGGGAAGAGCTAAACTAGCTAATAAAGGAGATGAAGTCCATCAAGGGGTGTTTATCTTTTTTGTTATTTTATATCAATGTGCATGGTAAAAGTGCAGGCATGTGATTTATTGACAAAGTAAATTGTTACCTCTTTGGAAGCAAGAACTGTGGCCTGCACATTTCTACCCCAATAAACATTTGTTTTTAATTTCATACAGGAAAAAAAAGCAAGAAGCTGGTAAATAAACCTTTAAAAAATTCTTAAAACTTCTCAGTTCAAGATTTAAAATTCCTTAGGAAAGGGAAGGAGCAGACAGGGAAGGGGGAATAGGATAAAATAAAATTTATTTTTAAAAAAAGATTTAAAAGTCCAACCCTCTAGAGGCAGGTATTTACTTCTTAATATTTGACAACAAATGAATTACTTTTCACTTACAATTACACCTAAAAGGAATGAAATAGAAACAGATGATAAAAAGGCCATTCTTGGGGCTAGCTAAAAAGTGTAGGAGATGAGTACAAACAGAAGGAAGACCAGAAGTGAAAGTCAAGAACCAAGGTAAGGGCTGGGGATTGAGCTCAGTGGTTCCACCACCTGCCTCGCAAGTGCAAGGTCCTGAGTTTGATCCCCGGTACCAAAAAAAGAAAAAAGAACCAAAGTAAAACGATTCTGGGACATCCACTGAAGCAGGTAATAAAAAGTAAAAGCTTAACTATGGGGAAAACTGTTGAAAATATTTTTGGAGGAATTTTATGATAAATAGGAACTGTATCTTACAGTGCTTTTATCATTTCTTCTTGCATTTTTTGTAAGGAATCCAGAAGAAGAGGAAGTGTGGTATCATAATACTGAGTTTGATGAAGTTGAGCCCCTTTCAATGCCAGCACATACTGATTATGCAACATATGAAGTTTCATTGTGGCTTTGTCATAACGTTCCTTGGCCTTTTCTGTTTCCTTCCCTGAAGAAAACATGGAAGAAAGTTAGCAAAAAGATAAGAAGTTTTATCTTCACTATATGCAATCTGGATTACCAGTAATTTATATTATTTCACACATTTTATTAAAAATCAATAAAACTCTATTGAATATATATTATATGTGGAGTTTTAGGAAAAGTACTATTTGCCAGTCCAACAGAGTTTGCTACAAAAGGAGGTGTGATATATAGTAAATGTTTGATGAATCTAAATAAATATACTACTCAAAAATCACAGATATAAGAACCTTATCTTCAAGGAGCTTATACCAAACTGGAACAGCATTGCACATGAAACTCTAAACAAGAAAGCTTGAAAATAATGTTAAATTTTGAGGTCTGTGTTTAATACATTAGTAAGACATAGCCAAAAGAGGCTTTGTAGAGAAAGTAGACCTTTAAAAATATGGCATGTATAGAAAAGTATAATAAAGGCCAATGGACAATAGTTCTTCCTATTCAATAATTATTAACTAGGAACTGCGCTAAACATTAGGAATTTAGACTTTGAAAACAGACTCCTTGATGTACAGTCTGGTAACTGAAATATTGAATGAGTTCATGTAAAGAATAAGCAATGTTCTGTAAGTAAGAAGAGAGAGCAATTTGGTGGGGAAGGGGGGTGAAGAAACAGTATCCATATAGATAGGACAATTCTAGGCATTGAATGACGTGAAATCTAAGCAGAGAAATTCAGACTTGATGTGTAAATATATAGGAGATATTCATAATGTCATTAATTAAAACTTTGGTGGTTCTTTTACTAAAATCATTTAGAAAATATTTACAGGCTGAAAATATAAGTGAATTAATATATAAATAAAACTTTAAACAAATCTTTTTGATACCAATCAAATAAATGGTTCTTATCAATTGAGATCTAGAAACTTTACAAAGCATTTATTAGTTTCTGCTCTTCTTCCTAGGAAATCTTGCAAATTAATGCTATCCCCAGAAATAAATCTTACATTGAGAGTTTTTTACACTTGATGCTTCCCTCTGTTCAGGCTCAATAACCACCAACCTGCATGTTACCCATTTGAAAACTTCTCCAGCCAAGGAAAAAAAGCAGGGGGAAAAGTAAGGATTTCTGAAGACCAAAGACACTTCAGATCCCCAGAACATGTTCAGGAAGAACAACAAAATTACAAATACAATTCCCTTGCATTTCTCATCACCCCTACAATTCTGAGGCACCAGAACTACATACACAAAAGGAAAGAAACCTTCCACCAGACCAGCATGTCACTACTAACAACAAATTCTAGGGTTTCCAAGCACTGTAAGCACCACTGACCTCTCCTAGGGAGATGCACATAATTATTTACAGAGTATAATTCTTTAGCTATAGTCCATTATTACCTGGCTCCTGTACACAGGGATGTTAATAACTTTCCAAGTTATTTCACAACATGTTGACCCAGAAGATCTATTTTATTTTTGCCAGCTATTCCTCAGAGAACCAATATCCATATAAAGAACTCAAAACAAATAGATCCCCCCAAAATAAAAAGCCCAATCAAAAAATGGACAATCAAAATGAATAGACAGATACCTCCTAGTAGTACAAATGGCCAACAAGTACATGAAGAAATGTTCAATGTCTTTGGCCATTAGAGAAATGCAAATTAAAACAACACGTAGATTCCATTTTACTCCAGAAAGAATGGCTATCACTAAGAAATCAAACAGTAATAAATGCTGGCGAGGCTGCAGGGAAAAAAAAGAACCATTCTACATTCCTGGTGGGAGTGTAAACTAGTACAACTACTATGGAAATCAATACAGAGATTCCTCAAAATCTACAACTAGAAATTCCATTTGACCCAGCTACAACCCTTCTAGGTATCTTCCCCAAAGAGTTAAAGACATCATAGTACACTGATACATGCATTTACATGCCTATTATTTATAGCAGCACAATTCATAATAGCTAAATCTTGGAAGTAGCCTATATGTCCATCACTGAATGAATGGATAAAGAAAATGTGGTATTTATATCCAATGGAGTACTACTCTTCCATAAAGAAGGATAAACTGGAGTCATTTGTAAGAAAAAGGGATACACCTTGAGACCATAATGTTAAGTAAAGTAAATCAGACACAGAAGCTTAAACATCACATGATTTCTCTTATATGAGAAACCCATAATATAAACAAAGAGCAAAATAAAAAATAGGTAATAGGAAGGATGAGAAAGATCCTTTTCGAATGAGAATGGGATCAAGACATGGAAGGAAGGGGGAGGAAAAGGAGACGAAAAAAGAATTGAGATGTGTTATATGTATGTACCAGCTCCCCACAAGAAAGGTAGTCATTGTGTAATGCAAGCATGTACTAATAAAAATAAAAACTGAAAAAAAAGAAAAAATATTTAGGTATATGATTTAAGTATGAAATAAATTTTATCCTTACTATGAGGTATGCTTTGTGATTGTTTGTTCGTTTGTTTGTTAGAGTCAGGGTCTTGCGAGTTAGCACAGGCTGGCTTTGAACTCATGACAATTCTGCCTCAGCCTCCTGAGTGCTGGAGCTACAGGCATGTGCTACCGTATCCGGCTTGCTCTGTGGTTTTTTAAAAAATTCTATTCTATTTGAATTTTTAATTTTTAAAAATGTTTATCTGAATCCAATAAACTTCTTACATCAGTTAATATAAATCCCTCAAGAAGTTTGAACAACTTATTCTATATGTATGTGATAATTTCATTAATTTAGCAATTAATGACTTCAATATATTGTTACTTCACAGAACAATATATATAATATTTTTATACATAAATATTGATGCTTCACATCCTTCTTGCAAAAATACATTTGATTAAAAGTCCCCAAGAGTTAATGCAAGTGAAACATCTACGGCTAGTCCTAAAGGTTTCTTTACAAATGACACCTCCTGTTTCTCCTCACCCACACAGGTCAGGAGGAAACTACTATACACAGAGCTGGCACCAAACACCCAAGATGCATACCTGCCCCACAGGGGCTCCTCTTTTGGGTACATGCTAGGTGACATTATGGCTAAATAGTGGATGTTCACTAACTCCAGTTTACAGAAGCTGCTGAAGCAGCCCTGCTACTGTCCTTTCTGAGGCTCCTGTAAGGATTTTTGTTTTTGTCTTTGTGCTTTGATTCACTATTTTAAAAACTAGTTTGTTTCTGTTACTTGAAATTGAGCAAATTATTTTTGACAACAGACAAGTCAAGAGATCATATACAACTATCCAGATAAATTAATTCCAAGTAATAAGCTATAGTCTATATGTTCATAATAAGAAAATAAAGCAAATAGTTATCAGGCAAGAGTATTTGAGTATTATGTTCTACTCTGTTAACTTTCATTGGCAGCTCAAAAGATACAACTAATGAATTTCATTAGTTTCATATTTAATGTCATGCCTATAAAAACTTACTTTATATGAATTTTATTACTCCTAATTAACTCCTTAAAATTTTGAGTTTAACTTTAGCAGTCATGATCTCGACACAAATATTTTTAGAGTCATTTCAACTATTCAAACCACTCATCTGTCTTGCTATTTGCACAGATTTTTAAACTGCATACTACCCATCTATCTGGTGCAGAATTAATTCACCAAATACGTAACACTCAACTCACTAAGATTTTATGCTACAAACAACATTAGAAAAGTTAAGATTTTCACAGATGCTTTTTCTCTTCATATGCATAGTTAATGACCAAACCTGAAGAAGACTATCACAGCCAAAATCTAATTATCAACCTTTTATGAGTGGTTATTAATATTTAAGAAAAAATTAAATGCCTTTGAAAATACCCAATGCAGAATCCATTATACTAAAATGATAACAACAGCATTAATAAATTTTTCCCCAAAAACCCCTCAGGTTTAAAATTGAATTTAAGTTTATGTTTTAGTATGTTTTAGAAGAAGGGTACTCTACAGCTGATAAACTTTTTTTTTAAGGATTGAACCCAGGGCCTTCACATTGAGCTACATCACCAGTCCTTTTATTTTTCATTTTGAGAGTGCCTCACTAAACTATTCAAGGTGGGTTTAAACTTGCAGTCCTCTTGTCTCAGTCTCCTAGAGTGCTCGGATTATAGGTGTGGGCCACTACACCCAACTGCTCATATACTCTTCTACATTTATTTGTGAGGTGTGTGTGTTTGTGGTGTGCAATTTATCTACCTATTTATACCTCTCTCCTTTCCTTGTAGATATGAACAGTTTTAAAACCATACTCACTTGCCAAGATTTGGAAAAGAATTTAACTGTACTTTTCCCTGACTTGTTTAAAATAAATATTAGAGTTCAGTACAGACTATCTAAGTAAACCCCCAAAATGTTTTTGATCAAGGCTATTTGGAGTCCTATATGCCTCATTTATCTGCATGTCAAGCTCTCTTCCCCTGCTTGGGAAGTTTTCTGCCATTATTTCTGTGAAGAGATTTTTTATGTCATCTGCACTCTCTCCTGTTTCTTCATTGAGCCCAATCAGTCTTATGTTATTCTTTTTTGCATCATCTAACAGCTGCTGCATTGATTTCTCATGTTCCCTTATAATTTGGAAGCAATTTTTCTTTTCCTGGTCACTAATTGCAATCTTATCTTCTATATCTGAAATTCTGTCCTCACATTGGCGCATTCTGCTGTGTAGACTTTCAATGGAGTTTTTCATGTCCTGGAAATCTATTTGCATCTGTTTTATGGATTCCATTTGTTTCTTATGTTGGGATTCCATCATGTTCCTCAGCTCCTCTCTAGATTTATTAATCATGTCTTGCACTAAGGGCACAATTTCTCCTGTTATCTGAGAAATTATTTTTGATTTCATTTTTTCCAGATCCCCTTTTGTTGCCAGTTCAGTGGGCCCAGGTGGTTGAGTATCAGAGGGTTCCATCTCATTTCCCTTTGGGGTTGCTGTAGGTGATCTGGAAGTCTGGTTTTGAGACTTATTTATGTGTTTTCTCATTTCGACTGGGGCGGGGGGCTGTTAGCG